TAGAGAATTTTCGTTTTACCAGCTGACGCGCGGCAGGAATGCTTGTTCGGACGGTGTTTCTCCGCATTCCTGTTGCAGGGAGCGAGCCCGCCCCCCAGTAACACGAGGGTGGCGCAATTACGGACCAGCGCCAAGCCACGCTACTGGATTCGGACTCCGGTCGGACCGGGATCGATAGCAGGGGCGCTGCTGGTCTCGGCGGACAAGGCGCCAAAAGTGGCGGAGGCACGCGAACGCGCACCAAAGGTGGTAGTGTCACAATCGCTGCATCTGGGAGAGGCCACCAGAGGCGGCGACGGCGCGTATGCACCCGGCACAGAATAGTTAACTCTGTTGCCCATTTGAGTGGCTAAAATAAACCGCGCTCGCAGAGCCATTCATAGCAAGTGCTGCGCTGGTTGGCGCACGCGCTCTCTGAACTCCAGTTCCTCGATGTTGCGAGCGTCACCATAACATCGAGCCTCCTTGTCCGGGAACGGGAAAAGACACATTTTTGGCATCCTCGTTTCGGGAGGCCTCAGCTTGACCATCGCATTCGCATGCTCCGGTCAAGAGGAGGCGTCCCGAGCCGACCGACCGCGCGACCGAATGTGTCTTCACTGCAGCGCACCGCCGCGTTCCGTGCGGCACAACTAGCAGCGCGGCGCGGGCGTTGTTCACAGTTCTCTTTCTTTTTTTCACTCCTCCCGCGACCAGCGCAGCCAAGACAGCCTGTTTCGTAGCATCTCACCTGTAACGGGGCTTCTTTCACTCCGAGCAGCCTTCGGTCATCCGAAAATGACGCCGATGCTGATTCCTCAACGAGCTTCTCTGCTTTTTTTAACCGCGAAAACTGGGTCGTTTGTTAGGCAGAGCCCACCCGAGCGATATCCCGCCTCTCGGCGCGCCAGTAGCTGACGATCGTGGGGCCGACGCTTGCTAGCGTTGCCGCTGGATGGCGGTAGGTGTCACACGACACAGTGAAGCCCCTGGTGGCGGCGTGGCGGAGGTCGCGTCTCGTGGAGTTCGCGGCGGTTCGCGCAGGCAGATGTAAGTGTACAATTGAGGTTACAGCCTGCGTTGGGCTCGGGAAAATAAATAAGGAATCGAGAAGCGGAACTTTTGCTGCTTTCACCGGCGTCTGCTGTTTAGCGCGTTTTATGTTTCAAGCGTCAAAACGGCGCGCTATTTCGGCGTCCCGCCTCGCGTGTCCTGTTGCTTTAAAAGTTGCTTCGACTGAACCTCCTCGCTCGTTCCTCTCGCTCCCCAGCACCACCCACCTTCAGTGCGCTGCGTAAGCCCTGGAAACGAGAAATAAATCTGGCGTGCGCTCACGAATTCCAGATATCGGTGTCGCACTTGGCAAAGGGCTCCGCTATCAACGCTTACAAGGTCTAATAAAATGTGAATTCTGAGGGTCATGTGTGCGCTGTCGATCTCTTCGCTTCTTCGTTTCGAGTATGTACGAGTATGTGGATTAATCAAACCTGTCGAGTATCGAACTCGGGAGAAGTGGTCTGTCGTTCTGTCATCCTCCGGTGTCTAGCCATTTTTGTTCTCGTTTTGAGGATGTACACACTAGCCCATTAAGCAGGCGGCGCTTTTTAATTAAAAGAAATTTTATAACTATTACAACATTTGTTGATCATCTGAACTTCCGTTGAAGGCCTGTCCCAGGTTTGTAAGCGACCATAATTTACTGATTTCGGGAAGAGGAAAAGGGGGTTCAAGCCCCGCCTACCTAAATTTTTAACATTTATTCTTGCGTGAGTACATATACTCGCGCTTAAACAAACACAAGCACGGGTGATGGGTCGGACCGCGTCCTCCCTTCCCCCTCAAAAAAAAAACAAAAAAAAAACATTTGGCTACGCTCTGGATTTTGCAGTGACCAATGCGGCGTACGGTCGAGAAGGAAGTCCGATTACCGCTGAAAGTAAATGCATTGCTATACTATCCTGTGGTCTCGTGGGAGATCTTTTACGACCAACCGCATTTTTGTTCCCTTAGCATGCATTTCGTTGCGCTAGCAGATCATTTGCATTGAATGTCGTTTGCATTGCAATTGGAAGCATAATTGTAGCTGTTGTTATAGTACCGTAGAGCAAATTTCCACCCTGCTAAAACGTTTGGTCACACCTTACTAATGTAAACGTGTGCCAGTCAAGCCTGTTCAATGCAGCTTCATTAAGCTCTCTTTGATGTTTTAGGGGCGAAGCTCCTTAAGGCGTGGGCTGTGCGTCCCCTGTATGTAGCCACTTCTCGTTTAGTTCTTGCAGTGTTCACTAGATCGCGCTACTTGTAGCTGACGATGAAAAGATGCAGGATGTTATAAACTAGACCGCGGTACTTGTAGTTGATGATGAAAGATGCGAGATGTTATAAAATAGGAATGATGTCACATATGGCTCGTGTAATTGGTGGAAGGTAATCGTTTGATTCAGTGTGGCGACGTACGCTAGGGGGAGCGTTGTAATAAAATCGAGTGGGCAAAATGTACGGAGGATTCATGGTTCACCAAGTTTACCTCCGGAGGTTCGCCCACTCACCATCATTCACTTCGTGGATATGGCGGCACTTTTTCTTATGTCCCATGCAGAACCATCTTTTGAGACGGGTGCTTCGTAGTGTGTTATTTTCCACATTGCTAGCATCAAATATTTTTTGTTCAATTCAACTGGTATAGCTCGCATCAGATATGACCGAAATAAGTAAGCTTTAGTTTTATCGTCACGCTTGCCTCGAAAAAACATTCAGCTCTGATCTCTTTTATGACCGACATATTTGATCACTCGTAGTATATGGTATATTCAAAACTATGCGCCAGTTCGATAGCTCAAAAGAATTGAGATTTTTTTCTTTCATATTTCAAAGAGATCCCACCATATGTACGCCCATATTCATGGCGAAGATCAAGGACTTAACCAGGCAAATATTTGTTCTTAAGCTGACACAGTTGCCTTCCACAATGATTGAAAATAGTCATTGCTATTTTTTATGATACTATTATGTTCTTTGATACGTTTTTCTTTTCTTTTTTTAGAGATATCATCGGCATCTATTGTGAATGCAAGAAAAACAGAGCTCTACATCTATTGCTTCGTTATATACCTGAAAACTTTGCTTATCTGCTTCACAATGCCCACTCTTTCTTTTAAGATTATCGTTGTGTGTTCCGGTGTTCTTTTACACCATCTTATTTTCCCTAAAAAGTCGCGTGTAAGCGTTCACGTTTCGGTATAAAATTTTCTCTTTCATCTTCTCTGTTGCTGTACCATTTTCAACAACTCTGGCTGGTGTGAACCCGTAAAACTGAATTCGGAATGTCGCCGTATACTCGTGTGTGCATTGTTTTCGGCGGCATCAGTTCGCATTGTACTTTTATTGACTGAAACAACACTTCCTCTGCGGGTTCTCGCGAAGCAGCGCAATTATGTTTTTCTGTAAACATTTAAATAATTACCCCTATTCGCGTTCACCTCATTCACGTCGGAGCTGCGAGCTCGAGTAGAAATTTTCGTCATATAGCCCGATCAAGTTGTTCACAGAATAAATATGACCGACGTTCACTTTGAACAATAAATGCGTCGCTAAATTATGGCTATGTGCACACATGAACGGCCGCTTGTGACTGCAAGTATCTTGCATGGTACATACATGTGCAGAGAACAAACGGACTATATGAAATTTTAAAAAGTGAAAATTGTAAATGTGCAATAGAGCATTCTTGTACGCATCCTAGGCGACGTCATTCACAAAGTGGCAAATTGGGATGGTGTATTGACAATTATGTTATTGATTTTTTTGTAGACTAGATATAGGTTCCCTATAATTTATTAATCCGAAAAGTGGTGAAAACCGATGTTCCATGTATTGTCTTCAGCTTTGACAGGCTTTTATTTTTTCTATTCAGTTTTACGTTATTCCACTAACACAACTTTTGTTATCGGCCTGCGCTTGTATATTTACCTTACCTCGTTGGATTTAATGCTATTTTGTTCTCTATGAACGTCCTTTAACCAGCTGAGTTTTTTTGCCACTAGCTAACATTTACGACAGATTTCAGAGCAGCACTATTTATCTGTAAGCAGCTGACGTAACTATGCAAGGAGTATGTAACATGTCAGAGAAATATGGGGAAAAATTGTGTGATTAAACTTCTCAGCGCAAAAACTTCCGACAATTAACACAAGAGACTAGGACGAGCGCAGACTTTCAACTAATTTATTACTACTACGGCGCACATATATATGTTCCAAAAAAGACGATAAGATCACTTGCTTAAGCAGAAAGAAAAAAAAACACAATACCAAAAAACGGAAGCTTTTGTGCTGAGTAGTTTAATAATGCATTACCAACTAGCCCGATGCCACACTTTACTTCAGAACATTTGCGATTGTGTATGCCAATACCGGTTAGGTCAGCGTCTTTTCATTTATCCGTGAACTATTACAGGTCACTGTCTTTCTGTACTTATTGCGAAATAATTATAATTCAATAATTACAGCAGAACCTTACAAATGAAGGTGACAACGTTGTACCAACCCTAATACCTACCTTGTGTCTGCTCATGAGTTGTGCTTCCGCCTCTAAGCAACTTAGCTGAAAGGCGAAGCTGAAACTGCAGGCAACGTCCATATGTGTTCACTTTGACAATAGTGCTTTTAGGGTTTTCGATGCTATATTTCAACGAGGAAATACATTTATTTATTCGATATCATTTTTTCCTCAGGTACAGACATTCTAATGCCCTTGTATTTGTTCTTCGTCCACGCATGCAAACAGGGAGCAAACTGCTGATTACGTTACTTTTCGGAAGGGCCGCGTCTTGGTTAGAGAATTCCCGCCTCTCTACAATCATATCGAAGTTTATTTCTTGTCTCTTTGGCGTTTTTGAGAGTCACGAACGGAAATTCCTGATAAGTGCCGCGATCTATATATATATATATATATATATATATATATATATATATATATATATATATATATATATATATTGAATTGCTGCATAAGTGTCCAGGCAACACTCGTAATACACACTCGCACACACAAGCACCCACGCCCGCAAATATTACACAAACATTTTCGACGCCATTGCTTATCGGCCATTTCGTTTTGCGAATTCTGATCCGTGGATTGATCGGTAGACTTCAACGTTCGCGCTTCCACCCGAGTAAGGTACGTGCACGTGACTGTACGAGTCGACGTGCGCGTCATCTTCGTATGGGCCATGCGTGTCATACAGATGCAAGTTCTCGGCACTGGAGGCTAGCTGGCTCTTGAGCTTTTTGAGCAGGCTGCAGTTCTTGAGCATCTTGATCTTGCGGAACTTGCGCTGTTTCTTGGACAGGTGCTCGATGACGTAAGTTGGCCGGATGACTTCTCTGATGACCTGCACCTGGCGGGCCGGCACGGGGAGAGGCGCGACTGCGGCAACCGGCTGCACGAGCGCAGTGGGCAACGGGGCAGCTGCGGGAAGCACGGCTGGTGCGGATGGTGGGGGTGGTGGTGGCGGCGGCGGAGGGGCCACTTGTACGAGTCTAGTGTGATGGTGCAAGATGTAGCTGACCTTGGGTGGCAGTTCTTCCGCCCTGGTCGGCTCCACGGCTTGGTGCACGAGCCGGGGCTGCAGCGGGACGGTGGTCACTGTTGGTTTCGGCTCCGGCACCACAAACAGTGGCTGCACGGCAGGTGGTGGAGGTGGAGGGGGTGGCGCGGCCACCGCTGGTAGGGCCGCGGGTGGCGGTGCATGCACTAACAGCGAACGCGGCGGCTGCGCTGCCACCAGGCCTGACACGAAGAAAGGATGGTGGTGGTGCGTGACCACGGCAGCCGGTGGAACTACTCTGGTGGGCACCAGCACTTGCTGCGGTGCCACCAAGCGCGGCTGAACCACCGGCTGCACCAGCACCGGTGAGGGTGGCGGCGGAGGTGGTGCTCTCGGCGCTGTTTGGATGACCACCGTCGAGTGGATGGGCGGGGGCAGGGGCCGCGGCTGCACCAGCACAGGCTGTACCAGAGGCCTCGGGGCCACCAAAGGCGCGGGCAGCACGAACGGCCTATGCGATATCGTGGTGTGCACGATTGCCGGCACAGCGTGCACCGTTGGCTGAAAATGATGCTTGAGGTCGAGTAGCTTGTGGCTGCTCGCCCTGGCCACCAGCAGGGCGACCACCAGGCACTCGATAACACCCTGCAAATATTATGGATGTGCGTGAGCGCGCTGAATGCCTGATTTGCCGGTGACAAGGTCCGAGGGAATCGCGAGGGCATTTAGGCGTGTCTCTTGTTTGGACGAATCTAAATTCCTGCTGCCCCATTCCATACAATCTACAAACGACTTTCTTTCTCTGCGCTTAACATAATTTTGGGTGACTGAACTAAAGGTTTGTTAAATCTTTTCCTTACGACCTCCCCGTCTCGAGGAGTTGCCGTAATGAGAGACCAGATGTGGCGAGGCATCACATCTTCCGTTGGTTCCACCTATTCGTGCCCACAGGTTTCATGAATACAAATTGCAAATCCTCTCCCCTAAGAGTCTTTCGCTAGAAGCAGCATCTACCCTTATCATTTCCCTTGAGCTATCTGCCTCCTCTTTTTCCTGTCTTAAGCCGCAAAGGTGTGTCCATATGTTCACATCGCTTTTCTCACTCTGCAGTTCCTCCTCATCTTCCGGCGTTCACATAATGTTAAAAACGTGAGATACCAAGTGCATTGCATTCGGAAAAAGGTCAAAACAGAAAGCTTTTTTGTATTTATCCTTTTTTTCTTGTTTACTGACATCTGTGATGAGAGTCGGGTGAAATCGCTTCACGTATTGTTACGTTGATCCAAATTTGGTGCAAGACCAATCTCCAAAAGCAGTGTAGTAGTGTAATGATTAGGGAAGATAATTTTTAAACTACAAAAAGGCATATGCGCTCGTTAAGTCTACGTGTTTCGTTTATCTTCAACAGTTGGACCAGCATATCCGCTGTGACTGAGAATGCATACTGAAACAGGGAGCTACGATTGAGTTCCTTAACGGCAAGCTTCTTTCTAAACTACTTTCGCTCTTAATTAGTGATGGTTATGTCCGAACTCTCACTTCTTCACTGATTTTTATGCATTTGACAATTGCTCCCAGTAAGGTTGGTAGATTTATTAGACCTGCATGTTGTAGGAAATATTCATGTAACAATTAAAATTACAAGTGTTGGCCAACGTGAACATTAAGACCGCCATATTTTGCTGTAGCATTCGCTTACTATGTTTCTTGCAATATATATATATATATATATATATATATATATATATATATATATATATATATATATATAACGCCAGGGCCGTTTTTTTTTTGCTTAGTAGCTAAGTCGTGGCTGAGCGCAGTATATTGAATTGAGGTTAAGAAGACAACGCTAACTTCTTCAACCCAAGCTTGATACAGTATCGTGGGTTGAAGAGGAATAAGGGCTGAAAGGCAGAGGAGGGAACAATGACCACTCTCAAGGGCCCACAATTGACAAGTGCCCACACTACCGCAGCTATGGTCGAATGAAAGAGCGCATGCCTCCTGTTCGGAGTGTACTGGGTTTGATTCGCTGGGTCAACCACCGGTTTTTTTTTTTTGATGGAGGGAGGGGTGTCACGACCTGGCGCTCGGGGGTGCGGGTGCTCATCCAGGAGAAGGTGATTTTTCCTTTCGGCACTTTTTCATTACCCTTCCTTTTGCCCTATCGTGACATTTCGTCGTGCTTTCTTATAGGTTGCATAAAGAAGTGCCTTAACCTCATACCATCATCAATTGCTCGACCAAGAGTCAGGTCAGGGTACCCCTCTCCCCTTCTGAATACTGGTGGGGGCCCGGCGGCACCGCGAATCGGACCCTGCTCCTGCTTCATCAAAGGTGGATGCTGAACCACTTCTCCACCACACCAGTAAAGCATGGCTCACCTGCACCCCATGCTCACCATCCCTTTCCTTAAAGGGACACGAAAGTCAAATAACAGTTTACATCAAAGTGAAAGCTCAATGTATAATAGCAGCGGTGGCTGCATTTCCGATGGAGGCGGAAATGTTGTAGGCCCGTGTGCTCAGATTTGGGTGCACGTTAAAGAACCCCAGGTGGTCAAAATTTCCGGAGCCCTCCACTACGGCGTCTCTCATAATCATATGGGGGTTTTGGGACGTTAAACGCCACATATCAATCAATGTATGATAGCATTCAAAACGACAATGTTATCAACAACAGTGCCCAACTTACCGAGAAATTCAGGTAAATGCACAAGAATACAAGTGCCGCAGTAGGACATTTTCAAAATGGCCCTGATGACATCAGACGAACCGCCTACTATTAATCACTAGTAATTGATGTAACTGCACTAAATAAAGAACCTTCCGTACATTAAGAGACACGATAAAATGCTGGTTGTTCGTTTCTGTTTGATTCATGAAAAAAAAAACCGCCGGACGTTACTATGGGATGACGAAAGTTATAGCGCGAGAACAAAACGACGGCACAGAGACAAGAAGGACACGAAAGACACTCTGTCTCTGTGTCGTCGTTTTGTTCTCGCGCTATAACTATCGTTATGCTATGCCAACTAGTCCAAGCTGCCACACTTCTAAGTTGCTATGGGGAATGGTGTGAGTGGTTCGAAAATTCTATTTTCGCGTGGTTACACTGCATAGGTGGTTCCGTCTAGCGGGGCGCAGTTGAAACAAAAGCGTCTGCAATCTCGAAGCCAATGGCGGGAAATTTATTAATGGCCCTTGTTGGTGCTATGGCTTCCGCTGCTTTCGGTCTGCTCCTATTGGTGCAGTAAAACCAGGCAACGTTGTGCATGGCAACAGTGACGTGAGACGGTCCCGTCGGTTCGCTTCTTGGAGCGGATAATTTGAAGTGCGCTAACCCAATTCGGAGCACTGAAACGTGATTCTATTTCGAAATAGGCCCTCCCTTGGCACAAAAGTAACACTACAAGGTTTCTGGAGCATCATTTCAACAATCAACGTGGACTTAATCGTTGACCTTAGTGTCCCTTTAACAGCGCCGCGTTCGCCTCCCTTCGTACGCTATGGCGCACCCACCTCCCATCTCTCCCCTTTTCCTGCGCGCGCTTCCGCTAACCCTCACTCTCTGATCATTTACCACAAATCCTACCGGCCCTACATGCCCCGCCCAACTCAGCACAGTTCTTCTCGTTCTAGATGCGTACCGCGTGCGGGCGTGACGACATCTTATTGCGCGTGGACTTCGTGCGGATCATCACAGCAACAGCGTGTCCATGCATGCTCTCGCAATAATAAGAACGACATCCCGTGCATACGGCGCGACAAGAACTCGTAGAGCACCGTAGTATTTAGTCTGATTTTACCTCGTGTACCTCGAAACGACTGCGCTAGTAATATAATGGTTATAACGCAATAATTCTCTGAGCACTGAATATTTCTGATATCGAAACAATGGCATGTGTCCTGAGTAACTGATCAACGTTGTTTATTACTCAATATTACATGTATGAATGACTGGCTAATCAGTGACCAGAAGTACACCTGCTACTCGCTGCCGTGGCTTTATCGTGGAAGAAAATTATGTTGTTGAGTCATTTGACCACAGTGAGCGACTCTGCTAATATTTCATGGCTAAACAATAAAATAACATTGTAGCACAATATTTCGAAGTAAAACGGTTCTTTTTCCTGGAAGCACATGGTATATTGAAAGTTCTGTCAATCACTCAACGCCACATAAAATTTTTTTCTGTACATTTAGCCATATTCATGCTAATCGAATGTAAGCTTTGATAACGGGAATGGCACTGTTTGTTGATTTTCTTTTTTTATTAGCGCCGAACACAAAGTTTTGGCCAAAAATCCTCTACGCAATGCTTCGTGCCTGTTTTATGTATTTATTTTTATCAGAATCATTGTTCACGAACTTAGCTGCAGATACCAATGTTCATTTCATGAGCAGTATGACAACTTTGATGGTGTTTGCCAGTTGTATTCGAGTTCTCTCACGTGCGCCATACAGCCATCGTAGGCTTGGGACATATTTTTTTCCTGAAACGTGCATTATCGGAGCCAGAATTAGTGGTACTTGTCAGCCGGCTCTCTCCCTGATTACCCTAATTTTTGCCTTTATAATAATAATAATAATAATAATAATAATAATAATAATAATAATAATAATAGGATCCTGAGCCCTAAAAATCATAGGGAAAATCATTGGAGCCACTGTTGAACTCTATTGAGGGCCCAGGATTCCTTAATTTTCAGTCCTGATACATCAAGAAATCTCACTGCTTTCGTTAATAAGTGTGCTCATGTACTGATTCATTCGTTTCGTATTAATCTGTTTTGCGGTAAGGGAACCCAAGCGCATCCAAAGGTGGTCTTTTCAGCCCAAACCGTGAACATTTGTTTCACCCGGAATATCGCAATATGCCATCCCCACCATGTCTTGTGCTTTGAAAAATAATGAAACATACAAGATACCACTTCAGTGGTCTATATAAAGATAAATATTCTACGTCAATTTGCCAGTTTCCACCAGTGCTTAGCATTACAATTACGTCGTTCCCATTATAAACATTCTCGACTGCTCGAAAAGTTTGTTCCAGGACACATACGGTACATTAGGCGGATTCAATTTTATTAACTCTCTTGCGAATATAACGAATCATTAATTACCTATACACAATCACGCTGAAGCTGGTAGGCACACAGCTGAAGTCAGTGACTGGTCCTACAAGCCTCATCACGATTTTAAGTTCGCACTCTTCACCGCGCTAAAGAGTGACAGATTGGGGGGAGGGGGGGGGGAGAGAAAAACGAGCTCCTAAATTCCGTTCCTCGGCGGTTGGAAGCAGTTCAATCACGGGCTGTTGTTCTGAGCGAAAAAAGATAAAAGTACAGATTACACTAACGAGGGGCATAAACGCGTTAATTTCACTTTTTCATTATTTGCTCATGCTCACCTAAACGTTGCCAACATTCTATCAACTACTAATTTTCGTCAGCATAAAAAGAGCGAACTACGCACAAGCGGGTGCAGCGTGGTGAAGCCACGCTCCCGCTGCATGCGGCACCCACCTTGATCAGCATCCCTCAACCACCATGAAGCGCACACAAGCGACACTCTCCTAAGTGAGCGAGCTGCCTCGCCTTATGTAGACTGCGGCCTGGGCTGGGCGCAGCCTCAAAGTTT